TCAGTTTATCTTTTGAAAACAACTATTTTTTTATTTGAAAAAAAAAATCATGCCGTTTTCCCGTAAAAATCCAAGCCAAATGATCGTACTACAACATCGGCAAATCTCTTCCGCGTTGTGTTAAATAACATTAACATATTTAAATGAGCTATGGTAATTTGAACACGTTGGCGTTATCCAGCATTTTTATTGGTTAATTGGAGATTTGACCTATTAGGTCAACCATGCAAGACAAGGAACATGGCGGATACTCGACAGCATCGAGCGTTAATTTGCGACCGGAATTATTTGCTTACGACGAAACGAAGTTGAATTTTATTTGCATTTCATTACAATTCAACAATTTTTTTTTAAACATTATTATAATCACTACTGAGTAATAATCAACAATTGTGAAACTCAGCATGACTGGATTGCGCAAGCGTGATCATTTGTTGCTCGGCAGTTGTGATCGTTTTTACTTTGTTTAGAATATAATTTCGTTACCAATTAAATTAGGAAAATAAAGTTTATTTCACGTACCAGGTTCGTTAAAAGTAATTTTTTGGAGAAAAATTACCCTGGGTGACATTGTAAGTTTTAGGCGGTTAAATTAGCATGTCTCAGTATTGACTGTCTCGCCGTACTTCAGACGGGACTTCACACTTTCCATTGTGGAATGTAGATGCTAATAGGTGTTTTTGAAGACAATGGCACAGTATTGTACGTGAATTTAAAAGCTCTATGAACTTTGTATGCGGGACAATGACATCGCAAACGCACACAATGCCTTTAGACCTATCATAATAGGACCGAGACGTGTGCTCACCGGATGCGTCCCAGGGACTCACCAGTTGAAAAATTCATGCGTCCCACAGAAAAACTATGCTTCCCGGACGCGTAATTCCGCGTTAACGCAATCCCTGTCAGTAGTGTTAGGATGTCAAACACGCAGTGAAACTGCTTTTGTTCTTGCGACAACTTTTGTCAATACTCTATATGAATACGTTCGTGTGTCGCAAGTTTTCGACAATGAGCTGTTATCACCGAAAAACTGTTAAATTCTTTTTCAATGCTCAGTTTATCTTTCGAAAACAACTAATTACTTGATTTAAAAAAAAATTCATGTCGTTTCCCCATGGAAATCAAAGCCAAAAGATCGCACTACATTATCGATAAATCACTTCACCATGAAGTCGGTGACCTGTCATTAACATATTTAAATGACTAAGGTAATTTGAATACGTGGGCACCATCCAACATTTTGATTGGTTAATTAGTGACCTGACCTATCCGGTCAAGTAACGTCTTGTGTGCATTCAAACTACATGGCGGATGTCGTAGCACATCGATCGTTTACATGTGTCCGAAATAATTCGCTTACGATGAAACTTAAGTTGAATTTTACTTGCATTTGATAACAATTCAGCGAATTTATTTTTCGTGTGTTATTATAATCACTACTGAGTAATAATCAACAATTTCAACACTTTGAAAACAAGTAAGTTATTCACTTGTGAGCCGAAGCATGGCCAGATTGCGTTACCGTAGCCACGGTACCGTACTTTTTTAGTGCTGTACCATGATCATTTTCTTCTAAGCAATGCATTAATGTTTGTTTTTATTTGAAACTCCTGTCAGAATATACTTTCCGTTACGAAGAAAATTAAAAAAATAAATGCATATTACATTAAATATACTGAGTATTTTTTTTTTCACGTGAACAGTTGTTGTGTGGCGTGACGCTTATCGCTCTTCTCTGACATCTAAATTGGAGTTACGATTATATTCAAAAGATTGTACGGTGTATTGTTTGTTTTGTGCAAGCGATGTGGGGAAAAAATGACCACGCCCATTTAGTGATTGCAATATGTATGTAATAGAAACCGCACCCCGAACTTGAGCTGTTGATCAAAATTTTTTATTTGATACATTGTAATATAAACCGCGGTTTATATTAGGATTTTAGCGGTATATAATTTACACGCAAGACCCTTTTTACAATCAATACATTA